TATTCCCATAATTTGTCATATGAACACATCTGATCCATGAGTACCGAACCTGTCAGGTTTTGCATTGTGGCCTGTGCGGAAATTACAAACAAATTTATGCCATATTACAGCGTGCATGCTTATTACGTGATTCTTGGGTGGATATGTCGTATGCAATTACTCAAACGCTGGCAAGTCAACAATAAGTCGAATTGTGAAATATTGGGACAGGACAATTTGTCCGTGTTGCCGATATACTGCTGACAGTGCTATGCATATCTCCACGACGATACATCATTCCTGGAAGATGTATGGACTCTATACACTGAAATGTGTCATCACAACGAATGTTTATTCATCGACAGTGTTGGGATCAACACTCGATGTTCTGTTTATATAATACTAGTCTCCCTGAATGCGAATAATTTGCTATAATTACTTGATAGAAAAATATAGCCTAGTCGATCCGAAACTTTTCAGGTCGTGGCTTTGTAATGTGGGCTGTGCTTATACCCTATATTTTGCTTTCCATTATGTGCTGAAGACAACAAACCGCGGTTATATAGACCCTAAAGGTATCGGGCACATACATATATATATATATATATGTACATACAAATATGTACGTCTCCTAATTATCGGTCTGGTGGGTAGGAATTAGGAGATCAGTTTCGCGATCGTTGGAACAGACTTGATCTATTTTCTCCGTGGCCATTTTGGCGATAGCCGATCGGGCCATACCGAAAAATCGGCGTGGGAGGTAGAAGTGAATAGGCTCGCTCGATCGCAGCCATGTCGTTCCCTCCCGCTGGCTTCCATCAAGGTCGGCAGATGGCGGCTCCGATGGCCCCACAGTTCGGGTTGCCTCGCCGGCTTGGTCAGCCTGAGAATCCGGGTAACTGGGGACACTACGTTCCAGGCGAGGCAGAGGCTCCCGAGAATCCCGCGGCTCCAGCTGCCGCATCCGGCGATTGGGGCTCTGGAGGCTGGGGTCGCGACGATCGTCGTGGACGTCGTGACCGCGGGGCTCCTGCTGCCCACAACCCCTTCGCTGTCCAGCGGCCTGAGTTCGTTCGCCAGGTCGTGGTCGAGGAAGAGGACGAGACCCAGAACTCGCTCCTCGTCATCGACAACCGCGACGACCGGGTGATCTCCCCGTTCCAGAATTGGCTGGCCGAGGAGATCATCTCGAATGCCGCCAGCTCGATCAATGTGCTGACGGAGCGGGACTCGGTCATGCCCCCGAACTCGGGCTACCACTGTTCGCTGTTCGCGAACTATACGCTCGATGGCATCAAGGCCGTTCTGCTCTTTTCGATGTCTTCGAAAACAGGGGACCATGTGCTCAGTGGGACTCCTACGCGAGTCGGGCGCTATCGCACCCGGCTTTCCAGCCCTTCACTTGGCCGGTGATGTTCGACACCTCGGCCACCTATGTGGATGTGAAGGTCTTCAATGGAAACGAGGTCCTATTCCATTGGGTCTTCAGGGGCTACCGCTCGGACTCGGATCTTTCTGTCCAGCAGCAGTTCTGCTACGAGGTGTTGATCCGGTCAGCCAACGAAGGATGGTTCCGACCCTCGATCGTCATCTCGGTCTTCGTTGGATGGAAGGTCTCCGTGACCTCGTTCGAGGTTGGAGCCCGAGTCTACACGATCGGCCCGAGAGGAGCAGTGATGGCGAGCGACCATGCCATGAGCACCTGTGAGCTCAGGGTGACAGAACGCTCGTCCCGAGAAGGCTATGGGAACGACGCCGATCGTGTTGAGTTTCGGTTCTGGGACGCCAACAACCGGATCGATCTCAAGTGCGGGAGGACTTCGGTGCCTGGCACGTGGCTCACAGTCAGCCACATCTCGGGCCCCGCTCTGATCAGCACGATCCAGGCCTGTCGGACCCAGCGTGCTCGCGTGGAAGGTCCAGACCACATCAGCAGTTCGCGCAGCTGTCTGCGGTGATCGCCCCCTGGTACCACAGTGCGTTCGCCCACGAACAGGTGCAAGTGGGAACTGCGACAGACGAGTTCCCGATGGATCATGGGAACTTCCACGTACGGGCTAGATCTAAGCTCAGGGGCTGCCCACTGGAGTTCGTCCGGCAGGAGGCGCTCGCCCACCGGTCGCACGATGAGAACAACGCCGTTCGAGCTCGGAACGCCCCCCCGGCTCTCATGGAAGAGGCGGCTCGGCAGGCGGTTCAGCAGCTGGGCTCCTCGGTCACTTCGGCGATCACCAACATGCCCACCTCGGCTCAGCAGGTGTTCGACCAGAGGGTGAGCACTGTTCCGGTGCCGGAGGAGGGCCAGCTCGGCCAGGAGCAGATCGCCGAGGAGGTCGTCACCGATGCCCGCGATCGCGTGAGGGCCGACATGCGATTCTCGCGCACGTCGGCTGCGATCACGCCTCAGGTTTTCACCGACGTGCTCCAGCACCGTGAGCAGGCGGAGTACGAGCGGATCAGCACGGTCAGGGTGGAGGAGACGGGCCAAGAGATCGCGGCTTCCCCCTCCACTACGACCACGGTGCCGAAGGCGTTCGCCCCGGCTTACCCGCCGGCCAGATCGTCAACGGGGCCCTACACGATGGACAATACGGAGTAGTTGTCGATCGAAGCCTAGGTGATGGTCGGTTTTTGTGCACGCTCCTAAGAGAGTGGTGCGCCGCGCGACCGAAGCCTCCTGGCGGATCAGCCGGGCTCTTCCGCGGAACAAACATGCCGAGCGATCCTCTCGGCCCGCTAGATCCCAGCGCATGTTCTGCCGGAAGTGAGATTGATCAATACCTGTCTCAGGCACGGCGCTCGGTTACCATTAGCAGGCACGTGCGATCGTTCGTGCAGCTGTTCAGGCCCAGCATGGATAGGTCCGTTCGGAAGATCCTATCCCTCCCCCTGTTCGGGGATGAATTTTGCCAATGGTTTGTGGATCTTCGGATGGCTCAGTTCGAGAAGCTCACGGCTGTTTCGGACGGGACGATCGCTGAGTGTGTGCAAGCATTCATTGATCTTGTCCCTGCCCTCGAGGAACTCCACACGCCAGATCGGCGGAAGAACGAGGAGGAGCTCGGCAGGTGGGTCCCGTCGATCGAGCTGTTGTTTGTGCTGGTTCGTAGCACGGCAGCAGCGGGCTGGGCTGATCTGGCCACTGATCTGGGATTCGACTTGGCTGAAGCTCCGGTCGTCTTCGGGCGATCGCCACTGAAGTCGAAGGGGACTGGCAAGGAGCCTCCTATGCCATTGCCGCTCGCCAAGAGGCCGCGGGCGATCGGGCCGAGGCCTGAAGATCCGCAGGCATCGCTCAAAACCCGTGAGCTCGGCGAGGCCCGAAAGTGGGGCATGAGGCTGAAAGCGATCGTGGAGAGGTGCGGCGAGCACGCCGCGATCGCGGGCAACCCGAAGCCGGGATCACCCCTGTCTCAAGATGAGATGAATGCATTGAGGTTGATCGTCTTCGAGAGGGGCGGTTTCCGCACTATCCAGCAGTGCGTTCGTCACTGGGAGAGGATTGAGACTTGGGCGAGGTCGCAGAACCTAGCGGTGATCCCGCTGACTACCGACGTGCTCGTCAAGTACCTCTTAGATCTCTCCGACCGAGGTTGCGGCCCCACCGTGATACCTTCGGTACGTGGGGCGGTCAAATGGATCTGCAAGCGGATCGGCTTGTCGTTGCCCGACCTCCGCGATCCCCGGATCATGGCCTTGCAGAAGAAGGTCTATGGCGATCGCGGGAAAGAGACGAGGGAAGCGGTTCCCATCCCTCTGATCTTGGTGGCGGCGCTCGAGCGGTTCGTGTGCGCTCGTTTTAAGTCGAGCCAATTCCCCATGGCGTTCTTCGCATGGTGGGTTCTCGTGATGATCTACTCGTCCCTCAGGTTCGACGACGCGCTCCACGTCGTGCCCGAGGCGCTCGCCCTGAAGGACGAGGCTCTCTATGGGGTGGGTTGGCAGACTAAGGTCGAGCGACAAAAGAAGGGAACGCGGTTCGCGGCGGCCAGAGTCTCCGTCTCCGGATCCGACTGGATGGAAGACGGATGGCACGCAGCTGCGGTCGAAATGGACGATCGCGACTACTTCATGAAAGAGCTCGAATCGGCTGAGCGATTCGCCGATCGGCCTGCCAGCTACCAACGGAGCATCCTGTGGCTGCGGTACGTGCTCACTACTGCAGCTTCGGACGATCTGAAGCGCGGGCACATCTCGCCCGAGCGGCTCAAGTAGCTCCTGAAGATCGTGCCGGAGATCACCTGGCACTCCTGCCAGTTCACACTGCTCTCGGCGGCGGTCCAGGCGCAGGAGCCCGATAAAGAGATCGGGCTCCAAGCGAACTGGAAGGATCCAAGCCAGCTGGTCCTGAAGTACGCTCGGAGCCGCAAAGAGATCTCGATCGAGATGGTCAAGCGGCTCACGAAGAGGATAGCGTCCGACTGGAAATCTCCACCGGAGTTCGAGGCCGACGATACCAATCTGGTCGACTTCGGTGATCTCGCTCTGACCTATGTCACCAAGGCTAGATCGGCCGCGGGGTCCTCAAGGGATCTGAGTCTTAAATATCATGCCATGTATATAGATGGTACGGGCACGGAGCGAACGCTCTGCGGCCGGTACGCGATCACCGCGTGCGAGGATCTCGGCGAGATTCCGCCGAGTACTCAGATGTGCTCGTTGTGTTCCGGTAAGATCTTTACGGAGCCGTGAACACAGCTGTTCTCAGTCACGATGGCCACTCGAGCTGAGCCTCTCCCTGACCGTAGCTTTTCTTTTCAGACAGCTCGTTAGGCAGCCATGGTCGATCGCACCGCATACGCGAATGAGGCGGCGACCCCGAAGCTGAACCTGCGCCAGATCTTCGGGAGACAGGGGCTAGATCCAGCCCTCTGCAGGCTCTCGGCCGACAAAGGTCTCCTCACAGGCGAGATGTTCGCAATGCTGGGGCAGGATCTCACCTCGGCGAAGAACCTCTGTTGGTTGATTCCTGTAGCCTGGTGTTTGTTTCCTGTAGCCTGGATTTGGGTTGTTGTTTTGATATGGAAGGTGCTTGGGGGTTTGGGATGTTAGATTTTTTTGTGTGACCTTGGGTCCCTCGTATGGGGGGCGGCGGCAGGGCCCTCCAAAAAAAGCTGACCAGACTTTGAAAGCATCAAGGTATATGCATCCCAGATTTTTACATTTGGTTTTGAAAGAATCATGCGAAAATTTCCTACTTCTATAGGGCTTCAGTGGTATTTATGTCCATTTCTCAGTGGCAGTAAGATTTTGAGGTGTATTTAAAGTTTCATTTAAGAATGGAAAGCATTAGGGCATAGACATGACCAAAAATGCACTCCGCTTCCATATGTGATGATGATATTATTAACTACATCACATGTGGCGGGGTGTGCATTTTTTCCTTACGCCCTGAACCCCTTAACAAACTTTCCTTAACAAACTTTCAGACTCAACCAAGTTTTTGAAACTTCACCTCTGAAGCAATTCCCTGAAACTTTGCTTTGAACCCTAAACCCCTTAAACCTTTCACCTCTAACCCTTAGTTTAACCTTAAACAAGCCCTTTACTAAACCTAAACTTTTGACATCTACAGCAACTCCCTGAAACCTGGCCCTGCGCCCTAAGCTAGCCTCAACCTCTTTCACGAACTTTACCTAGCCTTAAATACCACCTGTGCACCCCCTGTCAGACCATTGAGCAACGGGGGAGCTTTGTCATCCAGGCAGGACTCGTCATGCATGCATGTGAGGGTTTTAAGTTTAACCTGTCATTCATCATGGCCGCTGCTCAAGTGGCACACGTCATGGCCGCTGCTCAAGTGGCGCACGGCATGTCACGACACAGCCACTGATCAAGTGGTGCACACATGGCCGCTGCTCAAGTGGCACATGACATGACATGCATGCCTGCCTCATGAACAATTATAGGAATAAGGACAGCAAGCATAAAATAGGCGCCACAATGGATAGTAACACAAGCACGACAGTGGCAGTAGATATAAGCAGCACAACAAGAACAGAGAGACACACCTAAGGAA